AGGAGGTAGTTGTGTTTGTTTTGATCAGAGTTAACTACCCTTGGGGAAGACATTTCTCATGAACGACGCACAGCTCTCCTCCCTTATCCCCAACTCCACCAGTCTGGTCCTGTGAGCTTCCAGCTGCAGGCTCCCTGATGCCTAGCAGGGTTGAGTGCCAGGCACTGGGACTACATATCCCTGGATGCAGGTCTCCTAGCCCTACCTAATCCTAGGACATACTTGAGAGTAGCCCCACGGTTTACCAGAGAGGGGCAGAGCATGGTGGTAAGAAAAGGCCAGTGAATTGGGAGTTCAGATGTGAACTGCTCTTACTCTCCGCCCCCACACCACCACCACCACACACCTTGCCAGATAGGAGATAGACTCTTTCTTGTTCTTACATATTCCTGTATTCCATCTTAGTACTCCAGGGCTGCGCATCGCACTATTCTCATGCAGTGTGCTGATAGAGCCTCACCCCCTTCTTCATATCTAGCCTCGGCTCTTTTAGAGGGCTTTCTATGAGATACTGTGTTGTCCATGTAGAGTCACATGTCCACATATTCCAGAAGGAAAATATCCTAAAATATCTTCCCTTTCCATGTGTCTCTCTCAGTAGTCCTTGAGATACAGTCCCATGATCTTGGTAAGAGCAAGTTTCTCTAGAATGTACCACCAGGTCCAGCTAGATGTCAGGGAGGACCCTGAATCTGCAGCTGAGTGCCTACCCCAGCTACATCGGAGTGTCTGGTTTTGTGGGCACCCAGCTGCAGGCTCCAGGGCTTCTCTGATATCTAGCTGGGCCTGGTGGTTAGGGAGGGAATTCCAAAACTGGGGGATCTAGGCTATGTCCCTCTCACTCTTTAAAGTGGCCGTTGAAACCTAGATTTCCCCCAGTTCTGATTGATAGCCCCTTTACTTCTCAGGCCCAAGAGGGTGTTGGGGGAAAGGGCCTGTGGGCTGGCTGATTTTATGATAACTTGACACAAGCTGGAATTATTGAAAGGAACGAACCTCAGTTGTGAAAAATACCTCTGTGAGATCCGCTGCCAGGCATTTTCTTAATTAGCAGCTGATGCAGGAGGACCCAGCCCATTATGGGCGGGGTTACCGCTGGGCTTCTGGTTCTGGTTTCTGTTTGAAAATAAGCAGAGCAAGCCATGAGAAACAGCCAGTAAGCTGCACTCTTCCATGGCCTCTGTATCAGCGCCTGCCTCCAGGTTCCTGCCCTGCTTAGGTTCCTGCCCTCACAGCTTTTGATGATGAGCTAAGATGTGGACCTGTGAGTGGAATAAACCCTTTCCTCCCCAAGTCGCCTTTGGTCATGGTGTTTCATCACCGCAATAGTGACCCTAACTAAGCCTGGCAACGTGAAGATGGCCTGCTGCTCAGGTGGAGACCAGAAGGGTGTGTGTAGGACATGAGGCTGTGCAACTGCAGATGGCAAGGGTTCCTGCCTGACAGGCCTCTTTAGAGATCTGATCTTGCAACCCTGGCCTTTGGGAATTCTGTCAAGTGTCCAGGAAGCTGCCTGTAAATCTTATTGTAAACCCATAAAAATGAACATCTACTTCTTCTTTTATTTTTCCTTTGTTTGGTTTTTCGAGACAGGGTTTCTATGTGTTACGTTTCAGCTGTCCTGAAACTACCTCTTGTAGACCAGGTTGGCCTTGAACTCACAAGAGATCCACTTGCCTCTGCCTCCCACGTGCTGGGATTAAAGGCGTGCTGGGATTAAAGGCGTGCACCACCACCACCTGGCTAAAATCTACCGTCTGTTTCTTAATTATGTCACTGTAAGGCTGCCAGGAGGTGTGGGAATGGCACCAGTGATCATGGAAACTGAAGGTTTGGGGTCCGGGAATAAAATCAGATAGAGATGTGTGCAGAGGAGGTCCGTGTTCAGCCGCAGTGGGGCTGGGAACTGGTTAGAAGGTTTCTCTAGGTACAGTGTTGGTGGAGATCCCCACAGTGTACACCCAGAGGGGGAAAAGATGAGATGCAATGACTGGCAGGTCAGAAACCTTGCTTATGTGAGGAAGATGTTCTAGTTGAGTCCAGGGATACTCAGTTCTTCAGCTGGCCAGTAACTTCAACGGTTGCTAAGTCTATTGTTATCCTGATTTAGATAGGAAATACCTCTCCTTGGGCTCACTTGGTCCCCAGCTGATGATGATGTTTGGGAAAATTGTGGGCACTTTGGCAGGTGGAGCTTGTTTGGCGGAAATTGGTTGCAGGGGTACGGGGATGAAGGTAGTCCTTGGAGTTTCTAGCTGCATTTCACTTCCCATCCCCTAGTAGAGGTTTGAGAAGTCCCAGCCCTGCACATCTGCTGCCCTGTAACTCCTACTACCCAGGAGCCTCCTGCCTACCAACCTTCCCCCAACATGATGGGCTGCTTCCCTAGACCACACCCAAACAAATCCCTCTTCTTTTATTTGCTTTTGTCGTGAATTCCATCTCAGTAATCAGCAAGCCACTGATACACCTTATTTTTTAATATATGAACCCATTTACCTAGTGCATGACTAAGTCCACCACCAAAAATTGAGATAATGATAAGACTATGTCTCACTGGGCATTTGCCTAGGGATGAATTTATTTCTTGTGGGTAAGGTTGCTGCACCATCATGCTCAGATCCTTAAAGCAAACCTTGTATTAGGGGCTGTCTGTGGGGAAGGAATTCTGGCCTTTTTGCTGCCTGTAGATGCTCTTTGCGTCATTGTCTTTGCATGGACAGAGCAGATGTATATATTAAGGGTTTATAATGAGTCCTTATGTTCAGCTTCCGCAGAAAAAGAAAGTGGACTCATTTTAGGAATCAATTAGGTATAAATTGGTTTCTTAGATTTTGCTTCAGAATTTCACTACAAAAGGTAGTCTTGCGGTGGAGAAAATAGCCATTTTAAAAGAGATTTCCCACCGGCAGAGGCATCCAGAGAATAAACTACAAGGAAATTCATGCTATCTAACCCAAATAGAGACTGATTCTTTGACTTCCTAGAAGTGTGCGCATCTTGCAATTCCAAATCAATTAGTTGGTCAGAAGGATATAGCTTGGTTGATAGAGGGCTTGGCCAACCTGGACAGCCCTGGGTTCCACTCTCAGCCTGCAGAAACCAGATATGTGGTGTGCGCATGCAAACTGAGTGCTTGAGAGGTGGAGACAGAAGGGTTAGATGTTCAAGGTCATCCTTGGCTATATAGCAAGTTGATTTGGCTATAAAGCAAGCCTGGAATACCAAAGACCCCTGTCTCAAAAACAAAACAAAGCCAATAGTGTGATAAACCGTATTGTGTGTATGGTGTTTGTGTGTGTGTGTGTGTGTGTGTGTGTGTGTGTGTGTTTCAGGGGCTTGTTTTCCAGAATTTTCTGAGCAGTTTTAATTCCAAACTGAAAGTACCCTACATATCTACCAAGAAGTGAATGCGTAGAAATGTCTTGGTCTTGGCAAAATGTGCAATATTTTCTAGAAACAACCCTTACAAAATGATTACCTTCTGAGGCCGGAAGACTTTCAGAAGCATCGTGCCGACCAAGAGCGTATAGCACGAGTTGCCTGGAGAGATGGCAGTGGCTATGAACGCCAGTTGCTCTTACACAGGGCCTGAATTTGATTCCCAGCTCCCATATCTCACATTTGTCTGTAACTCCAATCCAGGGACTCAGATGCCCTCTTCTGCCCTCTGTGAGCACTGCATGCATACAGTGCACACACAGGTACATGCAGGTGAACTGCCTGTACGTGTTTTAAAAAAAATAAAGGCAGAAAAAGAGTGTGTATCACAGGATTCATTCAAGTGGATTCCAAGGAAGATTTTTTTGGTGCTTGGTAGAAAGCTGAGGGCTCCCTTTAGAGGCTAAAGACACAGCCTGGGGGCCTCCTTGCAGTCATTCACATATATTCACACATGTTTGCCAGGCGTGCTTTCGTCACATGTGTTTTCTCCGAATGTTGTCACTGCATCCTCACTACCCTTAGAACGTCTCTCTAAATGAAGGGGCTTACTCATCGGCGAGATGAGCTTCCATCACTGGAAGTACAACCCAAGGGAAAAGGAAAGGATCTCCCAGCATGCTTAGCTGCAGGTGAGACCAGGCTGAGGAAAGCTGCCACTGAACCCGGTCCTCCTGACTCTCAGATGCCCCTGAGACAGAGCTCACAGGGGAATGTTTTTCCCACTTCCTACTTTAATGCTCTCAGAGACCCAAGGTGGGACTGTCTGTGGTGAGCAGCTCACCCCCTCCAGCTCAGAGGCTGCAGCTGCGAACACGGTCAGCCCACAGTGCACAGAGGAGACAGAGCTCACCCTGATGAGCCCCTGTGGGGTGGGAGCGGTAACACAGGCAGGCTCTACTCTCAAGAACAAGACAGGCACAGAGCTCGTAAGGCATTGCTCAGGAGACCAGTGCCACGCCCTCTTTAATCTCGTCATTTGTCCTCTAGTTCCTGCCTTCTGGACTTGTGTCTTGCTTGAGCCTCCATTGTGACAAGCTCTCTACCTGTAATGGCCTATTGTCTTGGTCACTAAATCTTATCCTCTTGGAGGATAGCCACTTTGTCCACCCTTCAGATGCTCCCTTTCCCCATCGTTTCCTTCCAGGATGAG